GGGGCGCAGCCCCTCCCTTTCCCCTATATATAGTGAGGTTTTGGGCTGCCATACACATGAGAACATCTCCTTCTTGGCGCAGCCCTACCCCTCTCCCTCCTAGTCTCTTGCGGTGCTTGGCGAAGCCCTGCTGGAGTACCACGCTCCTCCACCACCACCACGCCGTCGTGCTGCTGCTGGACGGAGTCTTCCCCAACCTCTCCCTCTCTCCTTGCTGGATCAAGGTATGGGAGACGTCACCGGGCTGCATGTGTGTTGAACGCGGAGGTGCCGTCCGTTCGGCACTAGGATCATCGGTGATTTGGATCACGATGAGTACGACTCCATCAACCCCGTTCACTTGAACCCTTTCGCTTAGCGATCTACAAGGGTATGTAGATACACTCTCCTTCCTCTTGTTGCTAGATTACTCCATAGATTGATCTTGGTGATGCGTAGAAAATTTTAAATTTCTGTTGCGTTCCCCAACAGGAGGTTTGGAGGAGGCCGCTCGTGGAGGGAAGCGGCTGGAGGGGAGCATAGACCAGCTGTGGTGGCGGCGATTTGTTCCTGTACTCGTGAACAAGCAACTGATAGACTAGCTAGCTCCTGCATTTTACTTATTTATACCCATTAATAAAGGGGTTAGTGCTTCCGCTCATCCGCCATAAAATTGTTCCCAAAGTTGCAAAACATTACCCAATGATGCCACCTGTAAGTGACAAAAAACATTTTACACACGGAAATCCCCCCGCCTGGGCCGGCTCACAGAGTAAGGACCTCCTATACAGAGCTCTGCACGCTGGGAGAAGACGCAGCGTGGACGTTTAGGCCGCCCATGTGCGGGCGTCCAGTGTTTTTTAATTCATTTATTTGTTTTCCGTTGTTGCTTTTTCTACTTTAAACTAATTAGGACTCTAGAAAAGTTTCAAAATTTAAAAAGTTGAGAATTTTAAAACAAAAGATTCAATAAATCATAAAAAACTTGTGGATTCCAAAAATGTTTATGATTTAAAAAAATATTAAAAAATGGTCAGTATTTTTTCCAATATTTTGAAAAAGGTTCATTTATAGAAAATCTTTTAATTAAATTCAAAAAATGATTACCAAAAAGTTTTGAAAATATCATGAGTTTTGAAAATGCCCAAAAAGTTTGGAAACAATTTGTGAATTAAAAAAACAGTTTCTTGATTTCTAAAATATTCGTTGACTCAAAAGATGATCATGCATTTCAGAAAACATTCGTTATATAAAAAAACTACGAAATTAAAAAAATCCACTATTTCCAAAAAAATGTTCGTCGATTCTAAAAATGTTTTCTGATTAAAAAAAGGTTCACACTTTTGATAAAAGTATTTGCAAATATTATAAATCTTAATGAATTCAAAAAATATTGATGATTTTAAAAAGTTCACAAATAAGTAAAAATGGTTACGGATTTTAAAATTTATTCACGATTTCAGATATCTTCATGCATTTTGAAAATGTTCATGATTTTCATAATTTGTTCACGATCTCACAAAAATATTCAATTTTTTTGAATATTTTTATGTAAAGTAAAAAAAATAAAAAAACAGGAATAAATAAAAATAGAAAAGACGAAGAAAGAAGAAGAAAAAACAGAAAAAAAAGAGAGAAAACCTCTGAGGAAGAAATGCAAAAATCCCAAAAATAGGATCGAAGATACGAGGGGGTACACGCTAGGTCGCTACGCATCAAATAGGAAACCCCGCCGCAGTAGCACTGGAAATATACGTTTTAGATAGGGGAATCCGCCCACCTAGGACGTCAAGTGCAATGAGAAAGAGAGTGATATTGTATCTCGGTGATGCAGCAAAATACGGTCATAGGCATTGGAGATTATGATTATTTTTTCCCTGTTGCAACGCACGGGCCCTTTTGGTAATATTTGTTAATGGGGAAGCGAGGAGACCGGGTAAGGTGTTGCTGCTTTCAGACTCGTATATGCCAGGTGTCACTGCGCTCGAGGTGGTCTCCCATTTTTTTCCTTGGATGAGCAATGAACAGTTGAATCAGGCAGACGATTTGCCGTCCAGATTCTGAAAATCACACACGAGCTGATACACATGAGCTACAAATACCAAATCCACATGGTTGGGGGCTTGGAGCCGACAACCAGTACTACTAACTGAACATATACTGTCTTAGTCGGAACCGTTCTCGTGTACTAACTGAACCTACCGTGCTAAGACTAAACTCTGGTCGTATGAACAGCTCCACTATAAATTGCTAACACTAGTAACATATTGTACAGAAGGCCCATCCTACAGTAAGACCATCCGAAGCTACGACTGAATGCCCCCATTTCATGTATCAGGTCCCAAAAATTAACTTCATGCCTTCATCTGTAAGACTGCAGTACTGCTGATGATTCATGTCAACTAAAAGTAATGAATTGCTCATCTGAAGAGACGGTTTTTCAGAGAGAAGCACAGCCAGGAACTCGGGGTAATCATCACGAGCATCCCCAACCTTTCCCTGGAAGAAGTGAATTTCGATTGGCGATCGCTGCAACTCCTATGAAAGTCTTTCCCAAATGAATGACTGAAAAAAGTTCGGCATATTTTCGGCAGGAATAGAACGGACGGGAACACTTGAAACATGCAGACGACTTGCCGTCCGGATCTTAAATTGCATATAGGAGTGGTGCTGATTGGCTCCCAATACCAAACTCACACTATGGACCCGACAGAATTGGGCAGGCACAAAAGGGAATACCAAACTCACATTGTGGATCCGACAGAATTTTTGGCAGGCACAAAAGGGAACAACGTGCATGCCAAAACTTATTACCCCTAGAGTGGGCACTGGTTCCCAGATTAACATTTGGGAGGACCCTTGGATCCCTTCTAGCGAAACCAGAAAACTTATTACCCCTAGAGGAGGAATTATGTTAACAAAGGTGGAAGATATAATCGACCCCCACACGGGACAGTGGGATGAGGCACTATTGCATAGTGTGTTCTCACCAGTGGATGTGCACAGAATACTTCAAATCCCCCTCCATGTTGAAACTATGGAAGATTTTGTGGCGTGGCATTGTACGAGATCTGGAACTTTCTCAGTTTGTTCGGCATACCATGTGGAGTTTGATCATCAATTCGGACGTCATTACGCAAGCTTGAATAGCCCAGGGAGTGCTCAGTTGAATGCAGTTTGGAAAGAATTATGGCAACTTCGCCTTCCAGGGAAGATCAAACATTTTGGCTGGAAAGTATTAAAGGGGGTATTACCATGTTACGGTGTTCTCGCAGGCAGACATGTACCCTTGATCCCGCAATGCCCGCTGTGCAAAATTGGTCTAGAGGATATCCAGCATTGTCTATTTACGTGTATCCGTGCATCTGAAGTGTGGACTGCTCTAGGACTATCGGAGGTGATTGAACAAGCCGCTCGGCAAGACCGATCCGGCTCTATCACCCTAGATATATTGATTCGGCTGCGCACAGTGACACATACCATACCAACAGCCGAATTTATTTTGGTGGCCATGTGATTCATTTGGTGGCAAAGAAGGCAACGTACAAGAGGGGAGACAGTACAGACACCGGATCAAACAGCTATTTCTATTCAAGTACTTGCCATAAATTTTGTTCGTGCTCATTCACCAAACCAGCCTATACGTAGGATTGATCATGTATGGAAGAAGCCAAGTGCGGGAGTTGTAAAAATCAATGTCGATGCATCATTTCATGAGGATAAGTTCACAGGAGCTTGCGGAGCTGTTGCACGAGATGACCATGGCAAATTTCTGGGGGCAACAACTCATGTCCTACCGCATGTGTCTAGTGCAGGTTCAGCTGAATTATTTACTATTCGATGTGGTCTCTACCTAGCAGCGAAACGGGGTTGTATGAAGCTTATCATCGAGTCTGATAGTTTGACTGCGCTGGAGGCCATATCTGATCCTAATGCCTACATGGGAGTGGATGTCCCAATCATAGCAGAATGCTCCCTCATGTCAATGGATTATGCTTCTATCAGTTTTGATTATTGTACTAGAGAGGCAAACTTGATAGCGGATGGTTTAGCAAAGCACTGTTTCAGCATTAGTAAATCAGAAGAGTGGGAGACCATCGTCCCTGACTTTATTCTCCATCATTATGTAAACGATCTTGCTGTTATTTGAGGAATAAAGTTATTACGCTCAAAAAAAAACGTGCATGCCAAAAACAAGAAGAAACTTTCGTAGAGTGTAACTACTTGCAGAAATCTTATCGATTTGGGGCGTAGGATACCAACACATAAGCTCTTGCTAAGGCAGGTCCAAAATGGGCAAAGAGCACTCGACCGAAAGACTGAAAAATCACTTCATACAAGTGACCGAAACATTAAGCAAAAAAAATATGGCATTGTCTTATAAAAATGTGCAGTTGAAATGTAAATTGATGCGAAAAAAGTCCTTTCCAATGATTATATATCTGTAAAAACATCTACAATTTCTTACTGAGAGCAGGCTGTGAAACTGCTGTCCTGATTCTGAAACTGCACACGAGTGATATGCACGAACAGACACCGAACTCGATTGCATTACATGGATCACAAAATCAGTGAGGCTGCTAGCTGAGCATATCCTACCCTGTTCCATCCTATTCCCAGCCATGCCCATGTAATAACCTACAGTGCCAAGAGTCTAAACCCTGGCGGTATGAACAGCTCCAGCTATAAGTTGCTAACAGTAGTGACATATTGTACACAAGGCCCGTCCTACAGTCCACCATCCATCCGGCGCCACCACCGATCGATTGCCTGCTTCTTCACGCATTAAAGGTCCCAAAATTCGCCTCCATTCATGGCTAATGGCTTCATCCGTAATCATGTAATGCACGGCCGATCGATGATAATGGCGACAAAAAGGACCGCACGAAATTCCTCATCTGCACGGAAAAGTTCAGGGAGAAGGAACAGTCGGAGAGTTACTCGGGCCGGTGATCATCACGAGCGTCTCCACCTTGCGTGGAAGAGAATTAACTGGTGAGGTGAGGTTGGCGCTTACGAGTTTACGGCGAGTCGTCGTCGTCGTGGTCGTCGTGGTGGTCGTGGCGGAAGGCCATTTTGGCGGTGTCCTTCCAGAGGGACGCCTCCATCTCCTTGTCGAAGAGCCGCTTCTCGGCGCGCCGCAGCGCCGCCTCCAGCTCCTCGATCCGCTCCTGGTTCCTCTGGTGGAGCAGCTCGTGCAGCCTCCTCTCCAGCTCCACGGCCGACACGCCGTGGTACCGATCAGGGTCGTCGTCGTCGTCGTCGTCCTCCTCCTCCTCGTCGTAAACGTGGTGATGTTGATCGTCGTCGTCGCCGAGGTCGCTCTCGAATCCCTGTCGGCAGTCGGCAATGTCGTCGTCGTCGTCCGACGGCTCTGCTCCGCCCTCGTCGCGCTCCTCCCCCGTCGAAAACGGCGGCGTGTCCGGGCCGTAGCCGGCGCGAACGCGCTGGAGCTCCGCGTGGAACTCCTCCTCCAGCACGTCCATCCTCCTGCGGCTCGCCGCCTCCATCTCCGCGCCGGAGGAGGAGGCGACCTGGTGCCGATGGTCCTCGCAGAGCGCGGTCGCGGCCTGCGGCTCGTTCCCGTCCGTGAGGCAGCTCGACGCGGCGGACTCGGGGTTGCGGGGTTCGTCGTCGGCGCCGGTGTTGGCCGTCGTCGCCATGGCCTGCTGGCCTTTGAAGTCCCTGATGAGCGCCTCCATCTCGGCCCGCACCCTGGCCATCTTGTTGAACTCGTCGGACGTCTTGGCCAGCAGGAACACCAGGCTCAGCCCCACGCTCAGGTCCGACGGCCTCGTCGTCTCGCCGTCGCCGGGCGGCGCCGCGCATGGTGCTGGAATCGACAATTGCTCATGACGTGCTCGACACCAAACAAAATTCGGTCGACTGCCAGAATACCACCGCGAAGGGAGAGTTCGGACGAACGTACCTGATGAGGCAGAGGCGCCCGAGGCGTCCCTGAGCTGGCCCTCGTCATCCGCGGCGACGATCTCCTCCTCGAGCACCGGCTTCGGCGGCCGCGCTTTGCCGCCGAGCCTGGCGAGCCGCGCCCAGCGGAACCTGGGCATGAGCGACCTGGGCCTGGGCGTGGCGGCAGCGGAGGAGGGCGGCCCCGCGACCCCGAACTCCTCGCCGTCGTTGAGGTAGTCGAGGATCCTCCGCCTGCTCGTGCCCTCGGCGGCAACAGCCATGGGGACCCGCGCCGACCGGCCGGCCGGCAGAGCGGAAGATGCGAAGGAATGTGGAATGTGGAAAGCCGGGTGGTGGCCTCGGATTCTTGGGAGCAAAGCGGTTTTCAAACGGGAGCGGGTCGCGGTCGTGGGGGGCCGACAGCGACCTGTCTAACACCCTTCCCCTCTCTGTTTATTTATCCTCTTTTAAGAAAACTTATTTTGTGCCTGATGATGGATGGATGGAGTGTCAGATGATGATGAGATGGCATATGATTATTTATGGCGAGCTTGTTTGTGTAATCAAACTTGAAAAGATGGCATGATGGAGCGTGGCTTTGATCTGCAGGTAGGTCAGGTGTTGCGCGCTCCGATTTGAACCGTTGGCATTTTGTCTCTGTCCTGCATTTCGCACTTGGCGATGCTGATCCAAGAGTTGCCAGGCCACTTGCAACACGACTAGGTAACGGACACACGCAAGGCAACCTCAGCTCAGACCACCGGCTCAGGTCCATGGGCGCCGAGTCTTTGCGTGCGTGTGGCAGAGGCGCGCCGTGCCGAGGCGTCCGCGCGAACTCTTCCGATGTGGTGGCCATGGGATGGGATCCAGCGTGGCATGACATGACATGACAGCCTCGCGGCGAATGGACTGGTTGGTATTTTAGTACTCCAAACTAGTATCTGCAGTGGATAAGAACAAGGATTTTGTCCCTGCGTGCCCAGTTGGCCTTGTTTACTTCATCGGCTTTTCAATACCAAAGGGATAAAAGGGCTGTAGGTGAATGAAATTACAAGCAAGTGGTCGTGCCGGAGTGGTTATCGGGCATGACTAGAAATCATGTGGGCTTTGCCCGCGCAGGTTCGAATCCTGCCGACCACGCTCCCTTTTTTGGTTTCTATTTCCCTCGTCTTTTGTTTTTTTTACCTCTCACATGACTGCTTCGTCTAACTGGGCCTGACCATTTTTGAAGACAAAACCGGGGCTTACCTTTTTTTTGAGGTTTGGAAGCACTTTATTAACTGGGCTGTTGGGCAATACACAAATCAAGTTCGGCCAACATTGAACTCCCTCTTCTCATGGATAATCTGCCCCTGGGAAAAGGCTCCCATCTTCCTTTGCATCCCCTTTACGATGACCGAAGAAGCACCCATGTGATTACCCTGAACATTCACGACAGCAGCAGCACAGATCAGTCGAAATAACAAGGTTTCGGCAGGCAAGGTCAGCAGCCAAGGATATGGCCTCGTTGCACGCCATAGCTTCCAAAAATCTCAGGGGCACAAAGCCTCTGAAAGCTCCCAAATCAGCGCCTGTTTCGTCTCTACAGGTTGCCGCGGTAGCCCCCTTGTCCCCATGACATCCATCCCACTAATGCATCAACATGGAGCCATCCATCTTCGGCCAGTAGATGATCCTCAAACTTGAGCACGCACTTCTTTCTTCTTAGCTGGTATTTGACCCAGATCGGGCATATAGCTTTGGATGAACGAGGACGTCGTCAGAGGCGACTGAAATTCCCCTTCATGGACTGCTTTTCTCCTAGCTCACCAGATGGACCATAATGTTACAAGGGTCTTCACAAAGCTTCATTGCCCCATGGATTCCTGTAGGCTGTAGCTCAATCGACCATAACCGTGTTGCACCTGACGCACGCACGATTGCTAAAACAAAAACCTGACGCATGCACGAGACGGCCGAAGCCCTAATCTCTCCCCTGAAGCGATCATGCAGCCGCCGGCTCACGGCGACGTTGCCCCTACAGGCAAGCGCAGCCTTGCCGTCGTCCGTCCCTCTCGGCCTTGCACAACAAAATGCCACAAAACAGCCCCGTTTATTCTGCAGCTCCGTAATTCTACATGACACCAAGGTATGCCATATAAGTCATCTAGGGTTTTTTTGTTTGCGACTTTTTTGTTTGCAAATTCTATGATAGAAACCATGTTCGTCTCATCTGTTTACGTGTACTCCCTCCATTCCACAATGTAGTGCTTCCTCTATCCCCGTGCTTTAACTTTAACAGTAAATTTAACTATCACGACCGATTGCGGCGGGAGCAAAAATTATATCAGTGAATTCGTATTCGAAAGAAGTTTCCAATTATATAATTTTTTCTTCCGCCGCAGTTGGTCTCGTTGGTTAAATTTATGGTCAAAGTTGGATCTCGGGAAGCGCAAGCATACTACATTTTGGAATGGAGGGAGTATGTTTTACCGATTTGGATGATCAGATCAGTTTGACTGCTTGAGCAATTGGGTTATGACATATAGATTTAAGTTTGCAACTTTCTACCTCGAATAAAATTGACATATAGATTTAAGTTTGCAACTTTCTACTTCGGATTATCTATTATACTACTCCATTTGTAATAAACAGATATAAGACGTTTTTTTAGAAAAGAGGGATAACCCCCGGCCTCTGCATCCGGGAGATGCATACGGCCATTTTATTAATTATTCTTGAGGACCTTACAAAGTATTACAACAATAAGTCTGAATCCACCATCTTGGCAACATGCCACTACTCCTACCCAAAATGATGAAGGGGTGCTAGCTGGGCCACTACCCAAACCACTCACCCAAGCCTAACATCAAAAGCCGGAAACCGAAACATATTCGGAATCCCCAGCCGAGCCACATACCGGGTCTGGGGCACAATCCGGTCAGACGCACTCGTGTGTCGTCGCCACCATCTTCCGCAGGTCCGTCTTCAGATCATATTGAGGCTTCTACCTTGTCTGGCCACTCAGCCATCGGCGTCATCATGACGCCAGACATCAACCTCCTCCTGCGCGAGTCCATCTCCGCGCATCGGGCGGCGAACCTCCACAGCGCCATGCCGCCGATCCTCGCCGCCATCAATGAGTGAGATGAAGTACCGCTCCACCACGGCATGTACATTAGTGCTAAGCGGAACAGCTCACAACCGCAAGTCATCGGACGAAGGCGAAGATCCATGGAGAAGGCCAAAAGGGGCATAGCCAAAGCGGTGGTCAGGGATTGGACCGAGACCACGGCAGCCGCCACTGAGAAGAGCAGGCTACCTCACACCGTCACCACGCCACCAGCAGCTCCACCCCACACGAGCAATCCCCGGAAGACGCCTTCAAGAAGGAGCACGACACCGGATGCCGCCATCGACCATGCAAGGGGAGGGCAGGTCTTCACCTGTGCTCGAGGGAAAGGTGGGAGGGGAGAACCACACCAAAGCCTCCAGGAAGGACCACGGCGCCGAAGACGTCGCCTTTGGTGAGGCCGCCGCGCCGGCCAGGGGTTTCCCCCGGAATCACGCCCAACCACCAGATCCGTCCGTCCAGACCCCCAAGACGGCGACCGAAGCCACCAGGGGCTGGAGCAGGGCGCAGATCGGAGCAGATCACGGGCGGGAACGGAGCTTCTCCAGGACGACCCACGCGGGGGCGCCGCCTCGCCAACGCCCGCCACCCCCCCGCCGACCGCACGGCCAGGGAGGCAGCCCGCCAGCACCCGCCGGCGCAGCCCGCCGCACCGGCCACGCCGGACACCTCCCATCGGAGCCGCCGCCCCGGACACCGTGGCCCTCCGCGAAGGCGAAGCCACCAGATCCCCGCCGCCACCTTCATAGGTGTCGAGTGGCCGGGCCGGCGAGCACCTCAGGCGGCGGCGGAGGGAGGGGAGAGGGAGGGGGAGGCGCGGAGGGGATTAGGGTTCGCCCCCGGGTCGCCTCAGGCGAGGCGACGCGAGGGGAGGGGAGTCTTATATATTTCGACGTTTTAGACACTTGTTTACAAAGGAAGTATATTTGAATCCTATCACACTTCAACCGGAGCCCCAACTCCCCAATTTTAGTGTATGGGACGTTTCCTTTGCCTTATTATTCCATGAATATGAGTATATGACCATACATTCTTACTCATCGTTTCACTTTCACTTGTAAGAAGAACGTTAAAAATTTCGACGTAGACCATATGCCACTCCCTCCCAGAGCAACTGCCCAAATCCGGTATTCCTCCCCCTCCTCCTTGCCCTCTCTCTTCTCATCACCGGCAACCCCCTCCAGCGATGGCGAGCCTTTGTTTCCTTCGCCCAGGGGACTGCTCGCTCGCGATTTAGTGGTAGTGTTTTGGTATACTGGCATCGACTTTGTTCTTTTTTGTTCTTCTTACTTTCTCTTTTGGTTTTCGGCCTAGTTTCTCTTTTAATAGACCGGGCCACTCTGTATTTTTCCTTTTTCCTATCTATATGAAATGGCAGGAGCACCCTCCTTGCATCATCAAAAAAAAAAAAAATTCTCTTGCCCCCTCTCATATTTTTTCCTGGGTCCGCCCCTGTCTGTCATATTCCTATGGTGCCTCACAGCTTCCGTCGGAATGGAGTTTCTGGAGAGGCGCCAAGCAAAATGTTTCAGCTTCGCCGGCACTTGTAGTTTCCACAACCTTGTCCATTGCTTCTTCGTACTATCAATATTAGAGTTACTCGCTCTATGTTCCAGCAATCAACTCTTCTATGTTTTGTTTCCATAATCAGACGGTAAGAAGACCACACTGAAAATAATCCTGGTGCCATGCCCACGAGTCCTCTTCACTGTATTAACTTAATGGGATATTAAGAATCGAATTTGCGTCCGCAGCCTGCATATGTTCGAACACTTCATGGTGATGCCAGCATCTTTCTACAGAATTTATCATCTCAGCCACCAACATGGGAGGGTCCTGTGACCTCAAATGCAAAGCACACAACATACAGTCCCTAGTGATCCAGTTGTGATTCCATATGTTTGTCGACAACCCATTACCAATTCTTCTAATCAAGCCTTGTTTCAGAATTGTTGTACCCACGCATATAGCTTGCCATACTTGTGATGGATGAGACCCAAGCCCGGCCTTCAAAAAATCACACTCCGAAAAGTACACCGCCTTCAGAATAGTTGCACTTAGAGAATTCGGGTCTTGCAATATACGTCATGACTGTTTTGCAAGCATAGCTAGGTTGAACATCTGAGTGTCTCGAAAGTCTAACCCTCCCAAATATTTTGGCATTGCCAA